ATTACAGTCACGCCATGGTTAAATTTTTGGATTCACGGGGCGTCCACGATTCAGTCCAATATCCATTCATCATAATCATATCAAAACAAAATCAGCTCACCTGTGTTCACTACCAATCAATCAATCTCTTCTCCGCAATCCCTGTCGCCATCAATAACCATGGCAGAGATATCCATCAATCCCAACTACGGTGCATCAGCCCGATGGGTTGACCCGCCAACATGAGTAGCCATTATTCACCCTATCCGTGAGAAGATTCTCCTTTACCGTGAATACGCCGTAGAAAAGTACCAGCTTCCCAAACAGGTCAGATACTATTCCGAGCGAGATGTGTCGCCAAGGGAGGTTATCCGTTTCCAATCCCTCCTGGGACGATCGAGCTGAAAAGCGCGAGACGATGAACCTTATTATCAAAGGTACTGAACAAAAATTCCTATTGTACACTGTGATCTAGGACTCTCAAAAAGAGCTAGATTGGTTGTGACAAGGCCCTCAGACTGGTACACAGGCCATGTGGGTTACTTTCCTCACTCTTAACCCATCACCAGAAAGCTAGCCAATCGATGGGCCGACAACAAAGGGGGATTTGCAATTATCCGGGCGATGAATCAAGGATATAGCTTCAAGCGTGGGCAAACCAAAGCGGTGATCTCCCACGATATCAAGCTGCGGTGGTAGCTTTGGTAAAAGATTCCGCTTAGATTGGATAGACCGATCTCTCCTGACGCCTCGAGAGCTAGTTAGGCTGCGCACAGTCAAGGATGTGGATACTACATGGTTAGGCCGGAATATAAACATAGAATCATCCGCCTGAGTGAGACTGAACAGGCGAAAGAGGCTTTTCACAAGGATCAGTCATTGTTTTATTAGAATATGGTGAGCACAAAATGAGCACCAACAAGTACGTGGTTGAAGATCACCTCCTGCAAGCCACCAGAATTATCATGCTGGTTCATGTCAAAGCTGTCAACTGCGGAGCGGCAAAGATGCGGAGGTGGGTCCGGTAATGGGTTGCCGAGACCTGCGATCAGGACCCTCCTTGTGCTGCAGGAACGCATGACGTCACGCTGTTCATGGTGACTGTATGCGTGAATGTTCGTAATAATACTTGAACTCGATTATCTTTTACACTGACACTGTCGAAAAGATTTTTCTTTCCATAGAAACAAAAATCATCTTGGAGGAAATTAGAGAGGAATCTCGGTCACATAAATCACCGATAATGCCGACGGTAATTTTACGATTGGTTCTGTGAAAACAACCCCACCCACCCCAACCACCTGCTCAGCGACGATCTGGTTCCCTGCATTATCCTGCCGACAACGGTATTTTAGCGCTTCTCTCCGGATTGTCTCCCGCCAATCCCCCACTCGATCGCCCACTTGGCATCTTCACTTTTTCTCATTACAAGTCCCCCATCGCGAAAACTGCAAGTTCATAATACACAATGGCCGACGACGACCAAGACCAAGGATCAGCTGATGCCCCTCCCCCGCACCAGAATAGCATTCTCGCGAAGCCGTCAGATCTATACAAGGAACAAAAGGAAAAGCTCAAGAGCAAATCCAATCCCCCCGGAGGTTTCGACGAGACCCCGCTCCCAGATGCCCCTCCAGGATATACAGTCAAGATCAGATTCATTCGGGCATTCGATCTCCCAATTGCAGACCTGCACCTCAATTCCTCAGATCCGTTCGTCCATGCTACTCTAACAGCAGCTGTCCCCAGACGGCACAAAGAAGATCCTCCTCTTACGCATCGGACAAAGACAATTCGAAAGACAACCGAGCCTGAATGGAACGAGGATTGGGTCGTCGCCAATGTCCCTGCCTCTGGATTCGCGCTTAAGTGCCGTCTCTACGACGAGGATTGGCCCGATCACGACGACAGACTTGGAAATGTCACCATCAAGATCCCTTCCCTGGACGAGAACTGGGAAGGCTTTGGTCCGGAGGGCAGGATATTCGCGGTCAAGAAGCGTTCAGGCAGCAAGCGTGCCTATTTAGTCAAGGGCATTTCGGCCGTATTTTGCAAAAACGTCGCTTTAACCCCCCGTCTACAGATCGGTATTGAAGTCCTGGGAAAATCCGACCCTCCACATGCACAAATGTACACTGTTGGGCCCACAAGATGGATAAAACATTATAGTCCCATGATAGGGCGGTTGACCGGTGTCAAAGTCAACAAGGACGAAAGCAACGATGCTTCTTCGGTCCAGTCCGACGACGGCAAATCCAAAAAGTTTGACTTTCAAGCAAACCAGGTCCAACTCTCCGGGCCGGTTCCTCCAGAACTATACCATCGATATGTCGAGTTCCGTCCACTGATAGGCAAGATGTTTTCCTCCAAAGGCGTCCGGGGGACTATCTTGAACTCGGTCCTGCACAAACAACACCGTAGGATATACAATTACGATTCCCAAACGGAATTCGGTACCTTTGAAGCCTGCTCAGAAGAAGCATCCCTCCAGTTCCTTCGCATGGCTCACTTTGACGAAGGCGGTCGAATATTCACCTACGTAATCACGCTGGACGGACTCATGCGGTTCACCGAAACAGGAAAAGAGTTCGGTATCGACCTTCTCTCAAAACACAGCATGCACAGCGACGTAGCGACCTACATCGCTTGCTCAGGAGAATTCTTCATACGTCGTAAAGCTCATAAACACCCCCACCATCTTCCGCACAGCCACTCCTCTTCCTCCTCAAAAACAACAACACACCCACCTGCATCCCCTCTACCAGACGGCCCTCCTAATTCCCCACCACCTAAAGACCCAAAACTGTACCAACTAATCATCGACAACGACTCCGGCACTTATCGCCCGGACAAGTCAATCTTACCCCTTTTGCAAAAATTTCTAGAAAAACAGTTCCCAGGGCTGGAAGTAAAAGCCATGCACTGCGAGGATGAGGAATTGACAAAGATGAAGAAGGATCAATTGGAAGTCAAGAAGAAGGAAGGAGGGGCCAGAGTGAAGATGGTGCTCAACAGAAGTCCGACGGGAAGTAGTTTTAGCAGCGACGATGAGAGCAGATTGGGCGATTTGGAGGCTGATGAGGACGGGGTTGGGGTGAAGAGTAAGAAGGAACGGGCGTTTGATCTTGTGCAGAATCCTGGGGGGTGGAGGGAGTATTTCGAGGGGTTTGTGCCTGGAGATAAAAAGGGGAAGGGCAAGAAGAGTGATGTGGCTGGTGGGGATGGCGGAGCAGCGGGTGGCTCAGGAAAGGGAAAGGAGAATGAGAAGGTTGACGGTGAGGTTACAGGTGGCGATGGCGTAGTGGAAGAAAACGAGAAAGTTGGAAAGCGGAAACGGGATGAGGACGGCGAGAAGGCGGGTGATGGTGATGGGGAAGGAAGCGAGAAGAAGGTGAAAGTTGAAGGTGGCGAGGAGGATGGAGAGATCAATGGTAATGCTGTGAGGGATGAGAGTGGTGGAAAGGCTTGAATGTTGTTTAATGGGGTGGTCTTCCGTGACTTGTCACATTTTTCTTCCTTTGTCTTGTGAGAGCTTTTGGTATTGGGTTACTTGGGATACGTTGGCCACAATGTGTTGGGTTTTGTTATAGTTGTTCATGAGCGATACCTTCTTTTTTCTCTCCCCTTAAACATTTTAGTTTTTGAAGTACTTTATCTTTGGAATTTTTTGCCCGTGTTTTTTTTCTTTCATAGTTTACCTTTGATCGAATTTTCTTTTTAAAAAGAAAGAAGAAAAAAAACTGCGCATCATGAACTTTGGGATTTTTTGCAACTCGCTAATTCTTGGCTCTGGTGATATTATGAAAATAAAAGTATCATTAGTGTGTAGAGGAGGGTTTGAGGGAAAGCGAAGAGAAAGTTAAAAAGGTTGAGAGCAGTAAATAAAGAGAAGAAGCATGGAGAAGAGACTGACGGTAATGTTTTGGGTCATGCATTGGTGGTAGGTATGTATGTAGGTAGGTAGGTAGGTAGTAGATATTTTAAGTGCAGATGTCTGTCTTTCTGTCTGTCTGTCTGGGTGTGTGTGTGTGTGTATAAGTGAAGAGGGGGGGCTGTTATTGATGATGAACTTGTGAACCCCCTCCTCTTCTCTCCTCTTTGCTTTTTTTTTTTTTTTTTTTTTTTTTTTAATTTTTCCCCTCTCATTTTTTGTTCTTGTTATTTTGTCCCTTTCATTGTTTTCTTGTTATTTTTTCCCCTATTATTTTCATATTAATAGTAGATTCCAAGCTTCTGCGTTTATATCGTTCTCGGGGCATTGATACTTCTCTTATCTGAGGCTCAGGGAGAAAAAAAAAAAAAAAAAAGGGATGTATATATTGGGGCGGCCGTCGTTCTCATGTGGGGGGGATCTTTAGTTATCATATTTTGCAATTTAGTACCTGAGTATGATAAACTAGCTTTTTTAAAGTCTCTGCCAGTATTTGATATGGCATTTTGTAACACTGTACCCTATCTGTTTTCGTTTCTTTTGTTTTCTTGAAATAGATACAATTTGCCAATAAAAATGGCCCGACGATTGAGAACAATTGACCGAAATACAGATTAATACTAAAATACCACTGAACGAGAAGAAGGTGATTTTGCTCTGGAAAACTCACAGATTGTGTGTATCCGTGACCTTTTGTCGTACTCTAAAAAGAAGGGTATGCATACATGCCTGGGCAACAACTGGCAATTGTTTTTTGTTGCTCGACACTTTTGGTAGTTGTTAAACGCGAATAATGATAAAACCAAAAAAAAAAAAAAAAAAAGTGTTCAATCATGAGTTAAAGATAGGTAGGTATGTAGTAATCTAGCGAAAAGGAGAAAGACGCCATTTAACTTGAGCCTCCTTTTTGTTGTTTTTCTCCCAGCAAAAGAATTATTTATTTATTACAACCAAAACTTTATTTCAGAACAGTAATAAAACAAAGAAAAGAAACAGAATAAAAAGAATGGTGAATTTATTAAGTTGTTTTGAGACGACCAACGCACGGAACAAAATGTATTTAGAGAAAAAGAAAAAAGGTAATGTTGAGTCCCCTCGACCGGAATCGAGCCGGTGACCTTTCGGTATCATATAAATATCCTTTACAGCCGAACGTGATAGCCAACTACACCACAAGGGGATTTCTTTTGTGATTGTTGTTGGTCTTTGCATTGTTCGGTGCTCATGAATGGGAATGTTGCATGCAGGTGATTGGTGATGAAGAATGTTGCCGAATGCGGTGTAAGATGTGTTGTTGCTTGGGTGGGTGGTGGTTGGCTGAACCAACGCATGCCAAGCGGCCAATGAAAGAGGTTGAAAAAAGGGATCCGAGTAAAGTGCATATGCACCGTGCGTGTGAGGGAGGAAGGAACGAAGGAAGGAACGAAGGAACGAAGGAAGGAAGGGAAAGGTTGAAAAGAGCCAGCTGTGCATGCACGAGAATAGTGAAGGCATTGCAAGTGTAAAAGTCCAATCTTCATCTTTCATTATTATGTTGCTTCGTTACCATGATGGTCGACATCTGAATGCTCATAAACACTTACTAAATCTTGCTTCAAACAGATGACCAGTTTCACAAATCCTTCATCACCGCCCTTGTAGCCTCCTTCTTGTTCCCCAGAGCATATTGAATCAACTTCTTATACCCCTCCACAGCCTCCTCCAGATCCTTGACCTTTAAGCCTTCATCGTCCCCATGCGCCACAAGAATACTCCCCGGTCCATAAAGGTAACTCTTGTGTCCTCCCTTCAAATGAGGCACATCAGTTCCATAGCTAGCCACCATGGTCTCAAATCCCAAATTATCCTTCCCATCATCCCTATCTCCACCCAACTCACAGACACATTCAACAGGTCCATACCCGCTCCTCCACTCACTCGACAAAGCCTCATCATCAACTTCGCTCAAAACCTTTTTGACCTTCTCTTCAACCTCCTTCGCTCCATCCTTTTGACTCCCACTCGCCACTCTGATCGCAAGTCTGGCGGAAGCATCCTTGGGTATGACATTGGCAGCCACACCGCCCTCAATCAACCCGATGTTAACCGTCGTGTTCCCATACCGCTCTGACGTTCCGAGATCCGTGTCAATAATCTTGTTCAGTGCCCTGACCAGAACCTCAGTCGCTGATTTCCCGAGATGTGGATAGCCCGAGTGGCCCGCCTTCCCCTTAGCTTTAATATGCCCGTGGGTAATGCCCTTATGCCCACAGGCCAACTTATTCTCTGTTGGCTCACCAAAGATTGCTGCCTCGAATTTATGATTTGCTTTGGAGGAAGAGAAGAAACGCATCCCGTCGCCTGAGACTTCCTCGCCTACTACGTAGAGAAGCACTACATCTTTGGGTTCGATCTCTGGTAGGAGAGAAAGCAAAGCGATTATTTGGGCCGAGACGGATGCTTTGGCGTCTACTGAACCTCGACCGGAGATGAGGGAGGATGATGTGATTGGTGACTCGATTGAGTATGGGATAAATGGCGGGACAACGTCGATGTGGGAGGTTATGAGTAGTTTTGGGGAATATGAAGGGACAGAAGTGGCGTTTGGGTATGCAAGGACGTTGTACCGTTTTGGTGCTACCTCTTGCAGTTCAACGTGAAAGTCGAGTTTGGTAAGGTATGTTTTGAGAAAGGTTGCGGCGTCGGTTTCTGAATTGCTTAGGGAGGGAATGCGGATGAGTTGTTCGTGGAGGGTGAGGAGTGAGTCTCTGTAGGATGGGGCATCCTCGTGGCTGAGAGGGGATGAGAGCGTTGGTGAGAGGAGTAAGCTGCACAGCAGCAGGAGGTTTGAAGGGGACCTCATTCTGACTTTTGAGGATTGTTGTTTTGGAGAAAGAAAAGATGAGAATGAGACGGTTCAAGCGCCAATGAGGTCATATAGCGGTGGAGCAGCGCGATGAGTTGGGTCTTGGCATTGCCTTTTTGAATGTGGGGGATGCACAGGGGTATTTTTATTCATTATCATTTCTCAACTTCCAACTCATGCTGACTTTCCAGCAACAACAGCCTCCCATCTTTCTGGGAGAATGTTGCTAAAGTCAAACTTTCCATCGACACCCTTCACTACCGTCCCCTTCTCGGTAACAATGGCATCGATCAGTTCGTGAGGCGTCACATCAAATCCTGGGTTCCAGACATTAATTCTCTGGTCGGCAATCGCCACGCGCGCCGTCTTGGAGGTGTCAACGGTGCCATCGGCGTTGACAATGGCGCCACTGATCTGAGTCAACTCCTCCTTCTTACGCTGCTCAATCTCAATGCCCTTGCCGGTCTCGGTGAAGAGATCGATGCTGGTGGTTGGAGCGGCAACGACAAACTTGACACCGTGATGTCTGGCCAGAACTGCGAGGGAGTAAGTGCCGATCTTGTTGGCAGTGTCGCCGTTACGGACAACACGATCAGCACCAACAATGACGGCGCCGATGTTCATGCTCTCGCGGTAGAGGTTGAAGAGGGCTGCGGCCATGCTATCGGTGATGAGAGTTGAAGGGATGCCCTCGAAGACGAGCTCAAAGGAGGTCAATCTGCTGCCCTGGTTATAAGGGCGAGTCTCGGTGCAGTAGGCATGTTGAAGGAGGCCCTCGGAGTGGAGAGTTCTGATGATGCCGAGAGCGGTGCCGTGGCCAGAGGTGGCGAGGGAACCGGTGTTGCAGTGGGTCAGGACTGAGATCTTGCGATCAGAGCTGGCATTGTATTGCTGTTGCAACCAGGCAGCACCGTGAGCACCGATAGAGGTGTTATTTTCCAAATCCTTGGCAAGGATTTCTTCGGCCTTCAAGATGTAGGAGTTGAGGATGGCCTCCTTGGCTTCCGGGTGAGCGAGGCCCTCAATCTGAGCGGCTCTGGAGGCAACTTTGAGAAGGTTGATGGCGTTGGAAAGATCAACAGCTGTGGGTCTGCTCTCCTTGAGGTAGTCCAAACGGGATTCAATGTGGGCAATGACCTCCTCGGGGGTGGATGCAGCTGGAAAAGAAGAGTTAGATAAAAACCACCTTTATCAGTGCGAGTGTGACTTACTGCAGGCACCGTTATGCAGCTCAACGGCATGCGCAAGAGCGGCAACAATAGCAATAGCAGGGGCACCTCGCACTCTCATCGATCTGATGCAGTCAAATGCCTCCTCTGCAGTAGAAATCTCATCGTAGTGGTTCTCATGGGGGAGTCTGAGCTGATCGAGGACTAACAATTTGCCCCGCGAATATTTGATAGCTTGGAGGGTCGCCATTTTGTAAAGATGTTTTTCTAACTTTCAAATGAGAAAAAAAGTGAAATCTGAAACCTTGTTCAGATTATGTACCCCTGAATATGAAAGCCAGCAAACAAGGAGAGACCTGCTTGTTTGTGAATCTTTTCCACTGAAAATGGAAAAATCTCTCTTATAAGAAAGAGTTCGGCTGGCATCAGATGCCCCGCCACTGAGCAAATGATTCTGGTGGGGCAAATCTGCAATGATCAGAAAGGTCTTGGCAGGTCACCTCGCCGGAGGAAGGCGGTGAGAAATAATGGGCCATGGATGGTTGCATTGGCCATTTACAGCGGTTCAGGGAACTGCCTGCTTAACCAGTGCTTCCAGAAGCTCCAGCTTGTCACCGACCTAGATACCTTACCTTCTCCTACCTTGTTAATATTTCCCCTATTGTTTGCGCCGTTGAAGGTCATGTCATAGGGACCTGCTAGTAGCTGTTCAGGATGGAACAGCCGTTTTCTACTTCAAAAGTGTCAGGTTAGCTTATTTCCAAATTATTACTGCTGAATTCCCCCAAAACCTCCCATGTGCTAATGTCCCATCCATGACTTGTGTAGTCGAGTACTTCGATCCCCACGATGTCTACAAGCTGCTTGCGCCCGGGTTGATTCCTCGACTTCCTCTTCGCGACCTCAATTGGCAGTCCCATGCTGGTCCATTACGATCAATTAGTGCCCTACATGTCGAGCTCGTTCCTTCAGGGGTAGATACCTCCGCCATATTCTCCCCCTTGCCCTCTCCGAACCCGAAAGGTGGCGCAACCTCGAACGATGCTGGAAACACAGCACCAAAAGACGATGGTTTTCAAACTGCCCCAATAGGAGGTGGCCGTCCAGGTTCAACCGATCAATCAGACACTACCCTCAGGGTACCAGGGGCAGCGACCAAGGAGCGACGACACCAAATCCCTGGTCTGCGACGGACACCTTACCTCAAGGTGTTGATGGTACGATGCGATGACAATGATACCTACAAGTCCACGACGAGAGCCGAGATTCGGGAATGGGTAAAAGCGAACACGCCGCCTTCGCAGGGAAAGACTGGCAGCCATGCCGAAAACCATGATGCCTTCGAATGGCTCATCATCCACGTTGTCCTTCCCAACACCGTTGCGGCCACTCAACCTCGAACTGGCACAAAGGTAGTAGACTCTTCGACTACTTCAAAACCCCGTTGGGGAGGCGGCTCCAGCACTCTGTTGGAGAAGATGCGAAATGACTTTAATGGTTCCACCAAGGGTGCGGTCGATCGCGTCAGGCAAATAAGGATCGGAATCAACGATGTGCCGTACAACATGCTTCCCAGGGTCGTCCCGGCCGTTCCGACTGGATATCACGAGACAGAACAAGAGAGCGAGGCCGCGTGGGCGGACTTGATCGGGAAGTTTAAAGAGCTCATCCTGTCGAGCTTCGATACTCGCGTTACTCAATATGAAGAGGATATCAAGGAGAGGGACGGCCAGAGGAGTTTGCCTGGCTGGAATTTCTGCACGTTTTTCATACTAAAAGAAGGCTTAGCGCGAGGGTTTGAGAGTGTCGGGCTTGTTGAGGATGCACTGGTTGGTTATGATGAGCTCAGCGTTGGTCTTGATGCCATCATAAAGGAGCAGGCAATTTCTGGGTCTGCTGAGGCTCATGGAGGTGCTTTGTTGGGATTTACTCCTGATTTGAAGGAGACAGCACAACAAGCCATAAGGGAAATCGTTGATGGAAATATGCAGTTCGATGAGGAGGAAGCTGTGGATTTACAGGCCGGTGAAAAGAAGAAACTGGACCAGTCCGATAGTATTCCTATCACTTCATCGAGAAAAGCATACCGTGAGTTAATTCTGGCCAATAACGTGTCACTTTTTGACTTTCGGTGCTACATTTTCTCTCGTCAGATCTCGCTTTTGC